GTTTACACATCAGAAAGTTCCCTTTCATCAACAGCACTTGTGCTGTTGCCGAAAATCTTCAGCGTGACCGGTGAACCCCGTTTCCGCAGTCGTCGGTGGATGTGATGTTAATAGCTCTGCTGTGCCTCGGCCCTGGGGTACCGCTTCTGGACAGCCCCTGGGGCAGCGCGTCTTGGCCAATGCCTTTAGTGCTCTTCTGTGTGGGCTGTCCAGCCCTGCTGACTTTTAAGGTGTTTGCTTTGAAGAGCTGCTGTTTCACATCCTACCCCCTTGCAGTTGGAGTAGGAAGTATTTCGTTATTGCAGTAACATACATGCTTTAGGGAACACAGAGCATAATGCACAGATATACCTACGCTCCTCAACAGTGTATCCTATTTCTTTCCAAAAACAGAGCAAAAATGTTTTCACATTCTTCTGCCTTCCCCATGTTACAAGCAACAGCTTAATTATTGCTGTCCTGTGTCAGATCCAGGCTGTTGTTTATGGCAGGGCTCTGTTCCTCATATAGTCAATGAATCCCTCCATCTTGTTCTTAACTGTGCAGTAGCCTTCTCCTTTCTCGTTTTTAACTTCTTATATCACTTCTATTTCCCAATTTATTTGCTTTCCCCTCCTTTTTACCATTTCCGTACACCAAAATAACACGCACCACATCTCAGCTTTTTTCTGTGAAGTCAGCAAAGAGGAGAAGTGTGAGTGCTTTGGCCATCACAAATTTATACCCTGGATGAGCCCGTGGTTGGCTCTGGGGTCTAAATAGAAAATATTCCCTGAACTGCAGCGTTTATTGGAGGAACCAAATTAAAATTAATTGTCTCTGACTCACAAAAAGCCCTGTTAGAAAAGTGCTAGGAAAGACAACCTCCTTTTCCTCGTGGAGACCCTCTTCAGAGAGCTTCCTCCGTGTTGCTGGATAGAGACGGTAGTCAAATCAGAGCATGCTAAAGGAAGAAAAATATTTTATTTCTTGCTGGTGAGCAGTGAAACGTGGAGCCTTTGGTGAAGGAGGGTGCTGGGCTTGGGTCTGGCTGCTGGCGGTGCCGGGGATGCTGTACTGGGGAGTCAGAGGTGTGAGAAGGGCTGGAGGATCGCGGCGGATGGGGAGCTGCTGGGGAGGCTGTAGGCCAGCCCACCGCCCAAAAGGTCCGGGGATGGAAAGGAGCTGTTGTGTCTCTGCCATGGGGCTGCACGCGAGTCAGAGAGGATGAAGGGTGCTGGTGAGGGAGGATGGATGAAGGCCACTGGTGAGCCAGAGAAGGAGAGGAGTCTTCAATGATATGTCTTGCGTGATACCCAGGGTGTTCAGTCTGCTCAGCTCTAACAAAGGGAAGCTTAAGATCCTGCTCGATTGCGGTCATCTAAATACCCTCATGGGGAATGAACAGAAGTCTGGTGTGGGGATCCTCCAGCTTAGTCACCAAGTAGCGAAATGCAGTGTCTGAAATACTTCCAGCTCTAAGTGCAGAGTTAAGGTGCGCTGGTTAGTAAACCTTGCAAATTTTAACCTTTGGACGGATTTCTCCAGCCTTGTGGTGGGTTTTCTTGCTGAAACCACTGCCCAGGCTGGGTGGAAGCGCCGGGGCGGCTCCAGCCCTGGGAGGTGCCTCTGTGCCCTGCTCGGGGAGCTCCCAGCAGCTGCTTTGCAGGTTGTACGGCAGGTGTGGTGCAGGATGCATCCCAAGAGGATGCTGTGACTGCGGGGCTCTGCTGTCCCCTGTGCTTCGGGCACCTCCAAACCCCTGCTTACGACCTGCTGCGAGTCGGCCCTTCCTCTGGGTAGTCCCTTGGAGAAAACCACCTTATTTGATGAGGGCGTAGTGGAAGTGGTGGGAGCAGGTCTGGGGGCGGGAGGAAATGGAGATGTCTGCTTTTCACCCCTCCAACCGTGTCGCTTCTGACAGCACCAGGAGCCGATGCCCAGCCCGAGTGCCGTGGGCGATGGCAGCTTGGGCATGCGGTATTTCTGCTTGCCTTTTTTTTTTTTTTTTTTTTCCGACTTGACAGTTGCCCCCTATAAAGAGCGGTGGAGGGGAAATGCCAACCACCAAGGTCAGGAAGGAGCTGCTGCTTTTCACCCCTCCAACCGTGTCGCTTCTGACAGCACCAGGAGCCGATGCCCAGCCCGAGTGCCGTGGGCGATGGCAGCTTGGGCATGCGGTATTTCTGCTTGCCTTTTTTTTTTTTTTTTTTTTCCGACTTGACAGTTGCCCCCTATAAAGAGCGGTGGAGGGGAAATGCCAACCACCAAGGTCAGGAAGGAGCTGCTTTGGGAGGAGGGTGCTTCAATGCACTTCTCAGAAAAGAAATCGCAAAGCCTCATCCTTCCGAGGCCGCCCACGGGGCCGCTGCCGCCCGGCTCCCGGCACGCTGCCGGCATCTTCGTCGACGACGATAGTGATCAAAGCGAGAGTATGCACCGTGCTCAAGCTCCCTCCCAGCACAGGGGTCTTGGTGCAGCTTCTGCCCAGCACTGGGTCCCCACTCGGAGGCTTTGCTGTGGGTTTTGCTCTCCCAAAGAGAGATTTTTTTTTTTCTTTGGGTCTGTTTCATTTCATGTTGAGCTCAGTCTAAGCGTGCTGTGTAGCATGCTGGGATAAGCACAGCTTAGTCCTACTTCTGCTGCGGCTCCACGAGTCGCAGCCCCAGCATCCCGCAGCTGGGACCATGATGTGCTCTGGGCTGCCTGTGTTGCTGGCAGATAAGTCTGACTCATTCTCCATGTATAAAGGAAAAAAAAAATAGTGCTGGGTCGCTGTTTTAGTGGAGCAAAACCAGATGGATGTGCATGAGGGCAAGGTGGATGTAAGCAGGTTTTTTTAGCTGTGGGGCTTCCCGCTGCCCTTCTGGGAGGTCTCCGGTGCCTCTTGTGACACATTCATAGGATTTAGGGGCTGGAATGTAAAGCTCTGGTTTGTGCTGCCTGCACAAGGTACATCTTTAAAAGCTGATCTTGGCACCTCCAGAGCCGGAGATCACCCCGCAGCTCCCGTGTGGACTGCTCTCCTTTAAGGCGTTGAGCAGTTTGTGTGCGGGATTTTACTTCCCACTTCCCTCAGCCAAAAGGCACCTGCCTGAGCTCTGCAAACCCTGCTGTGATAGGGGTTTAGGTGAGTGAGGTGAAGCATTTCCCCACCAACACAGGACTTTCCAGTGCTTGCACAACTCGATAGAGAGGGGGTAACGGGGAGCGCAGCTCCTGCTTGCAGTGATGGCAGGGAGCATCCCTCTGCTTGCCTTGGGGGACATTCCAGGGCATCCCCGAGCTGCGCGCTCCATGCAGATTCGGGGCCTCCCTTGCATCTCATAGTGAGAAATGTTTTTTTGGGAATCAAAGAGCAAGTGCAAAGTCCAGGAGGAAGTCTGGTTCAAACTTTCTGTGCGCCCTCAGTGCGCATCCTACCCTCGTCTACCCCGGGACAGGGAGGGTGCCCGGTGTGGTCTGGCGCTGCTGGTTTTGAGCATACCTGGCACAGTGGAACGAACCCAGTTTGGACTTTGTGCTCTGTGCTGCTCTGACCCCTTGTAAAACACTGCTTCTGAGTTGTCCTTGTGACTTGTGTCCTGACCTGGCGTGGTGGCATGATTCACCATCGCAGCAAACCAGCAGCTGAGCATCTGCTCGGGCGCACTGAGACGGAGGAGTGGCTGCAAATAAAACTTTCTGGAGTTGGTTTCTCACCTGGCTGCAGCCTCTCCCTGGCCTGGAAATAAACCAAGTGCTGCTCTGCAGTTCATAAAAGTCCCTGGGTGCTACCACAGCACGCAGCTGTGGACGCAGGACATCTGCAGAGGGATGGAGAGGGCACTTGCAGGCAGGTGGCTCCTTTCTGCTTTTAACGTCACCTGGAGCTTTTGTTCCTGACCTGTGCACATTAGAAGCATCACCCTCCATGCCCAAATAACCTTTCTGGTCTGGATACAGGGGATATGGCTGCAGGGACTGACTCTGCTCCCGGTGGTTGGAAAGTGGATGCTCATGACCTGGACTGTGTGCAGAGGGAAGGGAGTTCCCACCCAGGTCTAGATCCCCTGTCCTGACTGATGCCTGGCGGTGCTGGACACTTCGCTTTGCTGTGTGGTCTTTGTTTATTGCGTCCAGGATTTGCAAGCTGCATTTTGTGCTTGAGACTATTTTTAGCAAGGACGCAGCTGTTTTGGTGTGTCTTTGGTTAATGCTGCTTTGCCAAATTTAGGAGCTCAGACCCTGGCAGCCTGCTGCCTCCCAGCACCGTTTGGCTTAATCCCAGGGTAATCCCAGTGCCTTGCCATGACCGTAAGTTAAACAGAAATTCTGCTTATAGCGATGATATTCAAATATACCTGGCTGCAACCTTGTGCTTCAGCTCACGGTTACTGTAGAAGACCAAAAACGGGTCAGAAGACGTCAGGCCTAAACTATATTTGTAAGACACTTCCCTCGAGCCCTGCCCTTGTCCCCGCTACCTGCCTGTCCCCCCAGCCCATTCACAGAGGGTTTGCCCCAGCTCCTTCCCGGGGAAGCAGCCCCGCGCCTCTCCCTCTGCCCCATTCAGCACAGAATAATGCAGCGCGCCACTGCCGCCGCAATTTCTTCCTCCCTCACTAGAAGTGAGAGGAAGGAAAGAGCCTGCGTCTTGCTGGGCTATTTGTATTTGTGGTTACGCTCGCGCAGGAAGCGGCATTCTCCTCGTCTGGCGATCCACCCCGACGGAGCTCAGCTCAGGCTTTTGTGGATCCTGCCCTGCACGGCCAGCCTTCGCCCTGGGCAGCTGCAGCGGGGCCGGGCTCTCTCGGGTGAAATAATCCTCCCGGCCGAAGCAGGACGGGTTGTTTCAAGGCGCCACGTGAGCCCAGCCGCTTCTTGCCGAGGTCAGCAAAGCTCCCGGCAGCTCTGACCACTTCTGCTGGGCTGGTTGCTTTCTTGACTATCTCACAAGGCTTTCCCTGGAGGATGCCGTGCTCTGGGACAATACTGATTTATTTGAGCAATGTGCTGGAGCCCTCCCAGGCAGAGCCATGGCTTTGTGCCATTGCGCTGACTTACGAAAATGGCTCAAAGGAAAACAGGAGCATCCCTGAATTACCGGGTCACTGTGGCTGTGCCCTCGCTGACAAGATATCACAATCTAAGGTTGCACTCTGGGTGTCAGCAAACCCAGCATGATGCCGGGAGTACCGGAGGCAAATTAAAAATTGCATCTGTGCTCCTTGGAAACTTTCCAGCAGGATGTTTCTCTGCTGGAAAATGTCGATTCATTGAAAGCGAAAAGTTGCATGGCAGCGGGAGGGCTTTCCCATGGGGGAAGGCTCCTGCCCTGTTTTGTTCAGCTAAAAGTTAGGCGTAAAGCCACAGAAATAGTGTGCGTCCTGGTGAGCAAATGCTTGTCCATGGAGGGGGACAAGTGAAAGCTGTTTTTGCAACCTGAGCACTAGTTTTGCTTGTCTTGGCATTGGCCTTCTCCCAGCTGGGCCACGGCATACCTCTCCCCTGGTTTAAATTCATCCTGTTTAACACCTAGAAGGTGTGTAAAGGTATTTTTATGGCATGTACATGTCTGTATGTTTGAATTTGTAGCCTCTGCAGCTGGGAATAATGTTTGAGGGATGGATAGCGTGACCTGCAGATTTGTGATGAATACTGCTGTCCCCTTGCCAGCTCACAGCATTGTTTCTTCCTTGTTAGCTCCAACGTGACAGCAATGTTTCTGTGCCGCTTAATAGACCATGCGAGTGAAGAGTGGCTGGATTTATATTTATTTTTCCTCTCTGATCGTTAGCCCTGCTTCCCTGCAGCGAGAGATGCTCTCTTTCTCTTGGTTTTGCTTTTGGACTGAGCTTGGAAGAGCCCCGGTGCCAGCACCCCCTGAACCGTGCCATGGGCTGTGGCTGAGCTGTGTGATGTCTGCACTGTGTCCACTCCCGGTGATAAAATCCATGGCAATGTGGGATGGGGGAGATGCAAACATGGACCCTTCTCAGATATTTGTTAGGTTGTTTGCTTGAAATTTCCCTATAACTTTTCTCCCCGGGGCTGTGTGCAGTGCCTGGGTCCCTGGGGGGGAAGAGGAGGAGGTGGCGGTGCTACTCCCTCCTTGGTCTGCAGATCCTGGTCCGCCTGAGCTGGTGAGTGCCACCTCCTCCCCCGGGATGCAGGGCCGGGATGAATGGAGGCGGCCGGCAGCTTTTGTGCAGATCATTTCCTCTAAGACCATCTGGGAGGTGGCCCTAACCGCCAAAGAAAAGCGACGGCCTCGGGAAACACCTTGGGCCATTGTCACTGGTCGGGTCCCAGCAGCGAGAGGCAGATGTCTGGGGATGGAGGCCAGGGGGGTTTCAATCAACCAGGGTGAAGGACCCTCCATCCTTTTGCATGGCAATTCTCCTCTCTCAATCTGGCTAATCTTCTGGTGGGGTTTTAATACACTTAATGAAAATTTGAAGGTGCTAAGAGATGGAATAAATGCTGGGCAGGCTTAACAACGATGCTGATATAAGCTCTGACTACGGCGATGCTGATGTGATGGTGCATCTCCAGGGCGTGGGGAAGCTGGTCGGGGGGATGCAGCACCTTCCCTCAGGTGCAGTGCAGCTGGAGGGGGTTGGATGTGTGCCCGACGGGAAGCTGAATTTGGCAGGGTTTGAGTGAGTTTATAGTTGGGATAGCGCATCTGGGGCGTTTGAGCCTGGGGGTGGCAGGGCAAGGGGTCGCACTAGTGGGTTTTCTGTGCTCAGGCAGACGGAAGGTGGGCATCCACCTATGCCATGCACATCCCTCTGGCCTCTGCAGTGGGCATGTGGCAGCGCAGGCATGTCAGCTACCCAGCCTCCCTGGGGGAGAGGCATCCAACCCAGCTGAGTGTGTTGGGCTGTGTGAGCGAGAGCACGAAGGCGCTGGGGTACCAAGCGATGCCGCTGAGATAAGCACCACTCGGCAAGAATAGATCTGTCCAGAATGAGGGCGCGAGGTTTTTTTTCTCTGCCGTGCTCTGACACAGGCGGCAAACACCTTCGTCCTGACCCCTTCCCATTGTTCGTCCCTCCTGCGACCTTCTTGAACGGGGCTGTGAGTGACGGCGGCTCTGTCTCCCTCGCAGCCGGGCTGTGCCTGAACTGCTGGAGCCTGCAGGAGCTGGTGAGCCGAGACGCCGGCAACTACCTCATCCTGGTGGAGAAGATCCTCAGCAAGGCCAAAGAGGTGAGTCGGGGGGCTGCCGGGGAGGGCTGTGGGCTTTGAGGTGGTGTCAGCTCCGGGGCTTGCCCAAGATGGAGTTTTGCAGAGCTTGGTGGGTGATTTGGGGTTGTGGTAAGGTATTGCTGCAGCACTGGAGCTTGGGGTTGGGTGATGCTGGGTCGGCAGGTCCGAAACTCTGGTGGGAGCAACCCTGTGTGTCCCACCGGCTTTCAGCGCATGGGAACTACAAGGGAAAAACTCAGCTCCAATATCTGCTCGTCGGGCAGCACTGCAGATCCACGGGGAAAAGGGTTTTGATTTCCTAAAGCGCTGCTCGGCGCCGTGCAAGGGCAGCCCGGGTCGTAGGGCTGCACAGATGGAGCCGGCCTTCCCCAGACCTTCCCCCGGCGCAAAATGAGAGCTGCTAGTCCAAATCAGAGCAAATTGAAGGTTTCCTGTTGTTTTTGATGGAAACGTTGCCACGGCTCTGCCGGGCTTCCTGCAGGGCCAGGAGCGAAGCTGGGACACTGGGTTTGCACCACATAGCAGCCCGGCAGGAGACAGTCGGGTCAGGCACAGCGGGGAAGCGAAATGGCAGTGGGGCCAATTGTACCGGCCTGCCGTTGTCTCATCATGTGCCAGACAAGCTTGAGGCATTGTTGGTCGAGCAGGGTTGACTCGGGCTGTGGCCGGGAAGACTTCGGAGGAATCCCTTGATGTGGCAGGAAACAGTGATGTGTTTCCTAAATCCTCAGCACTGGGATTCATGTGATGGGGTAAATGCTGCCTTTCATTTTTTGGGAAAGAAAGGCTGTCTAGCTGCCAGGCTGCGGAGCTGATACCAGTTAAGATTAGCACGATTCAGTTTAATCCATTTATATTTTTTTTTAATGGCTGGAATTTACGTAGTTGCAGATAGCACTTTATTACATTAGGGTTTACGTAAGGGTTTATTGCACTTCGTGCTGTGCTCGTGAACAAGGGGAGACAGTGTCTGCAAGCATATCCTTGAGCCATCACTAAGTCCCTCAGTGAAATAATTCTGCTGGCTATTCACTGGCAGAGCCTGGGACAAAAATCCACGGTTTGCACCGTGCTGCTGAGCTTTGCAAGCCGCTTGCAGGGGCTGGGCTGCCTGCTTGCCTCTCCAAACTGCCTGCTTTGAGCCACTGTCATAGAATTTCAGGCAACTCTGCAAGGATCAGGAGCATCGGAGGGCTGGGAGCTTGGCCAAATCTGGCTTCTCGAGGGTAAAGGCAGAGTGACAGTCTGTGCTGGTCTGCCTGTCCCATCGGTGTGGGTTACTGGGGCTTTGGGGGTTATTTTCCCATGGAGACAAGGGAATCTGCTGGGGACGGTGATGTGATGGTGTGGGTTGGGCGTGCGTCTGCACTGTCAGGGAGTCTCCCGCTATTTCCAAGGATGCTTTCGGGTAACACTCATGGCCAGCAGCCCAGCTCATCCTTTTGCCCTCGGGCCGTTTCCTACAGGTGCAGGAGAAGTGCGACTATGATCTCGTAACGCCCCTGGCTCTACTCTTCTACTATGCGGTCCTGTATGTAAGTCCTGAGGCTGCTGCACGTAGCTCGATCTCAGCCCCCGGGGAGGCGCAGGGTCCAGGGCCCCACGGAGCCACACGGAACAGCCACTGAAATTGGGGTGGCTTTCGTCTGAAACATCACGGTCTGCTTTGATCACTTGATCTCTAAAAAGATCCTGTACGAATCTACAGGGATCAAGACCAGACAACTGTTGCACAAGCTGAGAGATGAAAAAAAATTAGTTTCAGTGTTTTTAATCTTTTTATTTAAAGATGGGCTAATCAGAAAGGGAGACAGACAATATCTCTGTGCAGAGTAGGCAAATTTTTTTTCATTACCCTTTATACTTGTGCAAAATATATAGGCAGCGCTAATGAAAAGGAGTGGAGCTTTCACAGGAAATACTTTTTTTATTATTATTATTAGCACAATGCATCATTATCCCAAGGAAATCATTGCTGCCAGATCTTGCAAAAGCACAGGCTGTAATGCGATTCATCTGTATGGATCTGTGGTTGTTAAAAATAAATTTATATATAGGCTTTGGCACGTGAGCCACAGCCGGGAGGTTGGGAAGGTGCAGAGCAGATGAAGCTTTCTCGGATGTGCCCAGTGGGGATCCTTTGACCCTTCCTTGGGAGAGGACGGGGTGTCACAGGGGGAACCTCTGCTCCAATCCATTTCTCCTCCTTCCACTTGCAGCCTAAATCCTCAAGTTTCTATGCAGCGCTCGAGGCCCGTGTCCTTGTTCCCTTTCTAATCGTGTCTCCCTGTCCCCCACAGGCTCCCCACTTCCCGCCGGGCTCCGACCTGCTCGTGAAAGCCACCAGCATATACCACAGCTTCCTGACCTGGCCCGTGCCCTATTGTGACATCTTCCGCGAGCTGCTCACCTTCATCAGCGACGAGCTCAAGGCCCCCGGTAAGTGCTCCCACCGCAGGGTTTTCATGTGCTGCTGGCGCTGCTTCCCCAAAAACACCGTGCTGCGACCACCTCGTGTTTGTTCCCGAGACTCTCCTGGTGTTGCTGTCTCGTACCCCACTTGCTTCATGAATCCCTTGAGCGTGGTGCCCACATTTACCTTGTGCATCCCACAGCTCAGCTTTTCCAGGAGGCAAGGACCTCTGCCCTCTCTCTTCTGGGTGATTTTCCCTGGTGGTCCAGCACAGGGTGAGACCAGATTCCTCTGGAGGAGCGGGCGGGGTGGTGGGGTTGTGTTTTTGGTGGCTGCCTTGCGTGCAAGGTGGTGGGAGCATCCCAGGGACTCTCAGCTCTGGACCAGCATGGATTAGCAAAACACGTAACTATTTCCTGGCTGCCTTTCAGTCTGAGGGGTCTTTTCCATGGCAAAGCACGTGCTGGCTGCTCCCGCCCAGCCCTGGGCTTTGTTTGAGATGCTCAGTTTGAGATGCTCAGTGGTGTGACGGGGGCGATAACAGTGGGTCCATTCATTGGCATCAAGGTGGCTGGAGCCTTCAAGCCTGCCCTTGCGTGGAGATTTCCATAGGGCTGAGGGACTCCCCGGCTCTTTCTTTACAGCCGAGACACTACCTTGTGATACGGCTTTGGGCACATCTATCGGCAGCAGCAGCACTCCTCTTAATTAAGGGCTCCTCGTAGATGTCCTGTTGTTCCCAATGGAGCAGCTCTTCCAATTATTTCTAAAAGGCTATTTCTCCTAATCTCCCTGTCTTTTGGTGGCTTATGGAGAGCTGTTATCACACAGAGCAGATTTCAGCCCTTGTTTAATCCTGCGCAGGGCCATGGCAGTGAGACCGGCTCTGAGCAGGGCTTGGGAGGCCTCAGGTGGGTACATGGGCTGTGGTTGAGGCTGGGGATGCTTCCCCCCTTCCTCAAACCAGGCAGCTGCTTTGGAGAGTCCTGATGGGGACGTGAAATGCAGGGTCTCTAGCTTATAGGTGCAGGTGGGATGAAAGATGCTTTCAAAGGAACAAAAAGATTAAAAAAACCCCAAAAGCCTCTGCAGTCTTGGCACTGGACTGGCTGATCTACCCCCAGCTCAAGGCTCCACCAGCATAAATGGCCATGGCCACCAGGCAAGGTCTGGCTGGGCTGTTGTGCTGCGTCCAGCCTCCAGCTCAGAGCTGCAGGGCCAGCATGCATGTGGGGATGCTTGTCCCATGCCGCTGCAGCCGTGGACTTCCCCAAATCCTTCCTGGTCATTTATTGCTGTGACACCGGTCGGGACTGTGTTTTACAGACGGCTGGGAAAGCCCCAGTGCTGGGGTGGGGTTTGCTACATCCTGTTCTTGTGCCACCACCGCCATCACCCGTGCCTGGGGCTGTGTGAGCTGGGGACTTCGGTCCAAAAGCTTTTCCCCTCCTACAAGCATGAGAGATTCCCCCACCCCTGCTAAAAGATGCCGTGTGGGAGGTGTTGGCCTGCCGGGGCTGGGGAGCTCAGTGCTGCCCCTCACCGTGGCCTCTCCCCACAACTGGAGCCCAGAACAACGAAAACATGTCCTCTGCTGGTAAGCTGGCCAGGACCTTACACGCTTGTTGCGCAGCCTCCGTGACCTGCTGCGAGGCTGAAGCAAAAGCTTTTTATTGAGATGAGGGTAAACATTAACTGAGAACAAGTTGCTGTCAATATTTGCCAAGAATGCAATAGCTTTTATCTCCAAACTGTGGCTGATGTCTCTGCAAGAGGGGTGAATGCTGCAGTAATCGGGGGCCTGTGTGGATCAACACGAGCTGCCTGTGGGTGCTGGGACCCCCTGGGTGCTGCTTCTTGGCTGCTGAGCAGCAGCTGGGGTTGAGATGTGGCTGCCTGCAGTAATAAGGGTGCTGGATCTTGTTGACACCATAAGATCTTTCCCAAGATGCATGCCAGTCCTTCTGCCTTTTGGGAGTGTCACAGGCTCTGCTATTGCCACCCAGTCCAGGTCCATCAGACATTGCCTGGTTGGGGTTCCCGATGGCATCCTGGGGATGGTCCCAGGGAGGCATCCAGGGACGTGGGCAGCTCACGTCAACCTTGCTTCTGCTAGCGCCAGGCTGGGCTCCATCTCTGCGGGAGGGAAGGTGGCAGTGACCTGCTGTCCGTAAGTTAGATCTAGGGCCCGGCAGGGGCTAAAGCAAGTGGCAGAAGCTGCTAAATATCACCCTTGCAATTCAAAACGGATCCCGCATCAGCAGTGGGGCACAAGGGTTTGCGAATGGAGCAGCTCTCCCTTCCCATCTTCTTGTTGCCTTCCCATCCCCTTGGGCTTTCACCCTTTCCATCCCAAGGCTCCCTTGCTCCTGGGCTGGTCCCCTTGCATGGTGCCTTGTCCCCATAAGGACTTTTGGTGCTTCCATGCCGGCTCCAGGCTGCGGCTCAGCCAGGTCAGGACCACGTTAGGAGGCAAAGTCCATGTGCTCCTGAAGCAGAGCAGTCTGCAGTGGTGCCATGTCTCCTGTCCTCTGCTTTCTCCCCCAGGGATCTCCTTCCAGAGGCTGGTGAGGACGGAGCAGGGGCTGCCTGTGAAGAACTACCAGAGCTCCACCGTGTAAGTGTGGCCATGGAAGCTGCTGGCATCTCTCTCTGTAGCGTCCTCACCATCCCACGCTGCTTGAGCAGCAGTGGGGCTGCAGTGACCAGCATCTCAAAGGTGTAGCGATGGGTGCCAGGGATAAGAGCTGGATAGCTGGGCTGAGCTGTGGGAAGGGACAAGGGAGGTGGCTGTGGTGTTTCCACAGCCGTGGGTCAGGGTCTGTGGGCTCCCAGTGTCGGTTGTCCTGCAGCTCTGCTTACTGCAGGGCTGCAGATCTGGATGAAAACAGCCGGGGAAGGCAAAGTCTCCTCCGCAGGGAGCTGCTGATCTCGGCACAGGCTGGAGAACAGCCAGGAGACACTTTGATCTGCGTGTTTGGGAGCCACCAGCCCGAGGGGGGACAGAAGCGAGTCCATCCCAGAGCAACAATTAATGAAAGCCTTGCAGCTCTGAGCGTAGTGAGACTTTGCACCTTATTCGAGGGCTGAACCTTTCCTCCTGCCAGGGCACCTCATTTGTAAATAGGAAAATAAGCGCAGGCGGTGTGTGCCCTTCCTGGCTGCAGTGCCAGCCCCAGCCCCAGGGACAGTCCTTTGTGCACAGCTGCCTCCACTCCCTGCAGGAGGGGCGTCCTGCTGTTCTGGCTTGTCCACTCACGCCGTGCAGCTCTGGATCTGCACCTGTATCCCACCCAGCTGCGCTGGTGCTGCTGTGTTGCTTTCCCAGTACAGCTCCCCAGCTCTACACGCTTATACTGGTGCAAGTGCAACCACCGATGGCTATATTTGCATAAAAAGCCCTGAAAACCTGGCACAAAGCTGTACACAAGCTGAACCCTGGGCTTATTGAAAGGTTGTGCCCATTGCCTGAGCTTTCTAGAACCAAGCATGCCAGAGCACTTCCTTAATTTGGAGACTTCTTTGCGCAGTGAGGTGGACTGCTCTCGTCAATGAACGTAAGCTCGTGCCTGCATGCTCTCTGGACTGCAGGTTTGGGAATTCAAAGCCTGTGGATGTTCATTTTGTGGTCCAGAGCAAAAATGCAGCTGAAAGATGTGGCTCTTCTCCTTAAAGCCCAGAAGTGATGGTCTGACCTGCACCTTGCAGGGGAAAGATGTTTTGGGGCCCCCTCTCACTTTCTACCCTCCCCGCTTCCTCGCGTGTGCTGGATGTCGTTTGGACAACTGGCTGCTGGGCTGGAGCCCTGTCTGGGGCTGGTTGAACAATTATTGGGCCGGTGATATCGCAGATGTGGCAGGAGAGACGGTGCCAGGGATGCGCCGAGGGGCAGGATGGAGGATGCTCATCCGTTACCTGCTCCTTGCCCCTGGCTGGCACTGCAGCCTGGCTCCGGCACACCTTGCGCAGCCCCGAGACCCTCTGGCTGTGACTGATGTGAGAGGACACTGCCATCTAGCGTGAATTTGTCCAAGAGTTTCATGTGCCACCGGCGTCCGAGCCTGGCTGCCCAGACTAACCGCCCTCCCCTTGTCCCCAGGACGGTGCTGCTGCTCAACCGCTCCGAGGTGCAGAGCGAGTTCCTCTCCATCGCCGAGAAGCTGAGCACCAGCGAGCACCCGCAGCGCACCACGCTCGTCGTGCTCCTCGAGCACCTCTACCAGGCCAACTTCGGCACCCGCTGCGACCTGGACAGCCTGCACCACCTCCTGAAGGTAGGCTCAGAGAGCTTCGACTTCGGTGATGCCACGGTGCCGTTGGGAGCAGTTTCATGCAGTTGGCTGGTGGATTTCCTGACGAAAATAATATTTCATTGACAAAAGAAAGAAAGTTTTGATAACACTTCGCGTAGGAAAAATATGCGTCTTTCCCTTCTCTTCTCAGGTTAGACCTGAGGTCTACACTTCTGTTTTGTGAAGTGTGGCGGGGGGGTAACTCGCCTTTTACTCCTTTCCCCATCCCTAAGTGGAGCGAGGAGGAGCCCCTGGATTTGAAATGCAGCAAAAGTGTGTGTTTGACCAGAGAAACACTTTGCTTTGGTGTTTGGGGCAGGGGGCAAAATCTTGTGAAGAAAACCCCTTAGGTTGTTCAAACACTTCTTTTTTTTTTTTTTTTCTTCTTTGCAGAAGTTTTGGGGGGACTTGAAGGGGGTGGGAGGTAGAGGAGGGAGAGAGATTTGCCCAGTGGTGTAGTTAGTGACCTTCCCTAAAGATCTGTGTGTTGCCTCTGCGGAGGGACCCCCCTCGAGCTCTCGTCTTGGCTCTGCTCCCCTCCAGTCCAAGACACTGGAAGAGCTCTCGGAGATCTACGCCAGCGCCGCCGACGCACAGGAAATTGCAGCTGCCAGCAGCGACCCTGTCCCGGCCCGGGAGCGGCTGCAGTCCGTGCTGCGGGACATCGCCGGGGCCGCATCCTTTCCTGCCATCGTGGGTGAGAAACTCCCCCATGCCCCTCTTCCTCCAGGGTTTTCTACTGGCTCAGCCCTTGCGGCGGTGATGAGCTCCCCTGCACTGCGGGTGCTGGGAGCCAGCCCTTTGAAGTGTGAAACCCTCTTTTGCACAAAGTTTCAACCTAGCACAACAACTCCAACAAAAAAAATCACCAACCCAGGTCCTATTTCATAACCACGCGATGAGCCAGAAATTGTTTCTCATCTTTCATTAAAACAGCGACAAAAAAAAAATTCTCCAGCCTTTGTGGGTGAGGTGAAAACATTAAACCAGAAACTGATGGCAGCAGCAATGTCTGATGGCTCTTAGAGGTGTGAAATGTCCCCTCGTCCCAATTGCATGTGCCTTCACAGGGATAACGGCAGCAGCATCAGTGCTCTGCATGACCTGGGCTGCCCAAAACATGCATGGGGTGGATGGCATCTCCCACCATCCAGGAGAGCTGTCAGGAGCGGTATCAGGGTTCCCTGCAAACTAACTCCTCTCCCTCCTTTCTTCCTAGGCGAGGCTCAGCCCCGCAAGCTCCACACCATCCCCATACCCGCCGCTCGTTGCTACACTTACAGCTGGGATCAGGATAACTTTGGTAAGCGGAGGGGGTCCCCCGTCCCCCCTGGTGAGACCGCAGCCCTCTGCTCCCCATCGCAGGGGTGGCTGAACAGCATTTCAGCTCCGCCGGCACTGCCAGGTGCAGCCGGGCGTGCGGCACAAACTGTGGCCGGAGCCTGAAAGAGCTGGTAACAAATTGTTAGTGGTGGCGGAAGAGATAACGCAGTGGGCATCAGCGTCCCCTGGATGGGAGTGGACATGGGCGTCAGCTTGGGCATGATGCCTGCTGTGATGCTGAGCAAAGCCCTCATCCGAGCTGTGGGCGTCAGGCACTGGTGGCCCCAAAACACGTTGTGTTGCCGGAGACAAATCATGCAGGGCTTGTTCTCTTGGGCAAAGTTGTGCCTTGCATTAAGCTGGACGGAGATTCATCGCACCCGTGTCTATGGGGATATTGGTAGGATGGAGACCTTGTTTGGTAGAAAGCTCCTCTGCAAGGATTAAACCTTGCTCGTGCCCTGGAAATAATTGTTGCTGGAAAAGCCTGACTGCACCGATATGTCGGGGCTTTGTGGGGTTGAGACCCCTCGGACGTTACAGCTCTTCCCCCACCCACAGCAGGGATGGCCGAGGAGCGGGTGCCTTTGCTGTGCTCTCGGCCTGGCCGCAGCAGTTTTGCAGGGGAAACAGTGGCTTCCCCTTCTGCTGAGCTGCTCCCTCCGGCTTCCGCATTCCTGGAAGACCTTTTCTGTTCCTGTAAAGGTTTAGTGCTCGTTGCCTGCTGGCCCCAATGAGCTGGACTAGAGCTCTGGCTTGGGCTTTGCAGCAAGTCTAGCCTTGCTGGGAGGCCACCCGCACTTGGGGCTATTTGGGGTTTGATTATCAAAATTCCTTGCTTTCCTCCTGCCCTCTGGTTAAACCCAGATTAGACACAGGTACATTGTGAAATCTGTGTAGGAAGGAAGCAAAACCCCAGCTGGTGTTTGCCTTTCGAGAACCCAAACAGAATGTGACCTCAAGGAGAGAAACACGTTTTGTTTTGCCATCGCATCTGAGTGTCTTTTGGCAATCTAAAAACCTTCAGGAGGAGGTTTTCAGCTCCTTGTTTGAAACTGTGCAGGATCAAAGAGAGCGTTGGCCACGCTGTGGTAGTGTCGTTGTCTGGGGTCATCACACTTCCAGCGGCTGTGCTGGATCCCGTACCAGACCCGATCTTCCTCCGGTTGCCTTCCAGATATCCTCAATGATGTCCTCAGCAAAGAGTGCAGCGTTGTCGAGCCCATGGCCTCGGAGAACGAGGAGGAGGATGAAGAGGAGGAGGAGGTGGAAACTGATGGCTGTTCCCCCGAGCGGGACTCGCTGCTTTCCCCCATCTGCACCATTTCCAAAGACTCTGTGTACTCGGCACTGTCGGAGGAGGGATCTAAGCCCTCACGAGTGTCCCTCTTCACCACCTCCAAGGACTCCATCTCGGAGCTGACGGTGGTCTCCAGAAAGTCCCTGAAGTCGTTCGTCTCCAGCCTGAAGGACTGCATGGACAGTGGGTACGCGGAGGACAGTGATGAGAGCTCCCTGGACATGGTGGGGAGGCCAGAGCTGAAGGTAGAGAAGACCCACCACAAATATAGACACACGCTGACCAACAAGATCTACAAACTGTTCAAGAGCAAAAGCCACCTGGTCTTGAGGAGAGACCTGAAGGACTGCCCGGACACAGGCTCGCTCTCACTGTCCCTGCGCCGGGCCGAGAGCCTGTGC